AAGCCACATTCCCAGCCCTGATTATAACTTTTGCATATCCCTCAATAGTCTTTATTTTTATTTGAAAAAATTTCAAAATAGGGTGCTATAGAGTCCAAGCTGGCCTTGAACTTACCATCTTCCTGCTTTAGCTTCCTAAATGCTGGGATTACAGATATATACCATCATGCTATTCCTATACACTTTAAATCAACTCTAGATTATTACTAATTCCTAGTAAAATGTAAATGCCATATATAGTTGTTATATTGTTTACTAAATATGCCCTCCCCCCCCCAAAAAAAGGGTCTATATGTGTTCAGTACAAAGACATTTTTTTTGTGTGTCTGTCATGGGGCCTGGGCCCTGTCCCTCAGCTCTTCAGCTCAAGCTTAGTGCTCTACCACTTGAGCCACAGCACCACTTCAGGCTTTTTCTGCTTATGCATGCAAGGTAAGTACTCTATAACTGAGCCACCATCCCAGCCCCCAAAGACAATTTTTTTTACCCCCTCCATTGTTTTCCCCCTACTATCCCTTCCCTCCCTACCTTCCCCGAGGTCTAAAGACAATTTTTTAAGATACTTTTCATCCTTGGCTCATTGGCTTAAGATGTAAGCTTTCAGGTACAGACCCTGTAGCTGTGGTGGGCTGATTTTACATGGAATCTGAATAAAGAGACTAGCATCATTATTAAGGGAATGAATATAGACAGAGAAAAGGACCAAAGCCAAAGAATAAGCTTCAGGGTCTTTGAGTATTAGCAAAGCAGCCAAGGAACAGCTATTAGGGGAAGGGGGATCTGGTATCTGTAAGCCACTGAATGTTATTCAGAAGGAATGATCAACTGAGTCAAAGACAAAGTTGCAAAAGTTTCTACTGGATGGAACAAAAGATAATCACTGGGCTGGGAAGGTGGCTCAGTGGTAGAGTGCTTGCCTTGCATGCATGAGGCCCTGGGTTCGATTCCTCAGCACCACATAAGCAAAAAGAAAAAAGCCGGAAGTGGCGCTGTGGCTCAAGTGGTAGAGCACTAGCCTTGAGCTGAAGAGCTGAGGGACAGTGCCTAGGCCCAGAGTTCAGGCCCCATGACTGGACCCCCCCCCCAAAAAAAAGATAATCACTGACAAGGATAAAAGCAGTATCTATAAAGTTGTGCAATGAAAACTCGGAATGGGTCATATGAGCAAAGGGCAAGTGGTATTTAAGATATCAAAGACAACTCTTTATAAAGAGTTTTCGTGTTAAGGAGAAAAAAACATGTAGTAGTAATTAGTGAAGGAATGGAGTTAAAAGAATTTTTTTTTTGGGGGGGAGGTAAGGCTATGGTTTGAACTTAGAGCCCAAAGCTAGACAAATATTCTACCATTGAGGGCTTTACCCCTAGCCCTGCTTCAAGATAGATTATTTTATGTGCTAATGGGAATAATCCAATTGAGATAAAAAAGTTATTTAGAAAACAACAGGACAGGGGCTGGGAAGGTGGCTCAGTGGTAGAGCACTTGCCTTGCATGCCTGAGGCCCTGGGTTCAATTCCCCAGCACCACATAAGCAAAAAGAAAAAAAAGCTGGAGGTGGCGCTGTGGTAGAGCGCTAGCCCTGAGCTGAAGAGCTGAGGGACAGCGCCTAGGCCCAGAGTTCAGGCCCCACGACTGGACCCCCCCCCAAAATAAAAGAAAACAACAGGACAATTGTTGGAAAATATCCTTGACACCAGGAGAGAGGACTAGTGCACAGATTGCTCTACTATAAGACTATGGATTATTCTTGATACTTGGCAGGAGGGAAGAGTATGAAAATGCAGAAAATGGAAGCTGAGTAGATATGTGAGTGGGAATTGGTATAAATTGCAAAGGTATAAATTATAAAGAAAGAAAAGAGAATACATAGTTCAAGATTAAGAATCAGATTGGCTTTCTCAATGGCAACATTAAAAGCCAACACACGAGAGATGAAAGCTTTTAAAAACTCAAGTAAAGATCATCTGCAACCTGACTTTTACATTTAGTAAGGGTAGATTAAATTTACTTTCAAATGTACAAGGTGTGCTGGACCTTTTGTTTGCCCCTCCAGTTCTTCCTCTGTTCTACTTTGTCTTGAAGCTAGACCTGTCTGAATTGCTTCACTCGGTTTTTCATGCCCTTCTTCTGTTGGGTCTGGTCTAAATGCAACACTGACAGGAGGCCAGTGGGTATAAAGAGAGGTTGCTGCTGTGTTATTTTGCTGATGGTTGCAGATGTTGTTGGACATCTCTTTCCTATGGCTCCTGCTCTCTGGTTTCTAGAGAACACACCTTCCTCTTTTTTCTTCAGGTTCATAGTTCCTACTATTGCTAGTCTCTTCTCTTAACAATGTTCCAGAAAACACTTAAGGATGTTATCTTTTTCTTGACTGGACTCTGACTGAGCAGGTCCCTAAAAATTTACATGTAACTTGTCTCATAAAATTGTTGGAAGTTCTCCACTAAAATAAGGAACTAAGCTGGGTGCTGGTGGCTAACACCTGTAATCCTAGGTACTCAGGAGGGTGAAATCTGAAGATCACAGTTCAAAGCCAGCCAGGGCAGGAAAGTCCATGAGACTCATCTCTGATTGACTCCCAGAAAACCTGAAGTGGTGTTGTGGCTCAAAGTAGTAGAGTGCTAGCCTTGAGTGTCAAAGTTCAGGGACAGTGCCCAGACCCAGAGATCAAGCCCCATGACTGACATATATACATACATACATAAGTAAGAGATAGGATCTTGGAATACAGAGCAACCAATTCAGATTAGGGCTGGCCAGAAAGGAGATAAAGTTATTAGACTGAATACTCAATTAGGAGTTTTACATAACTGTCACAAGAATTTGAGAGCTAGTGAGAATTAATGGCAGAGATATCTATGTAGCTGAAGAATAAGGCAGTTGTTAAAAATAAAATAGCTGTTGACTTTAGATATAAAAATTGGGCGGGAGGGGGAGGGAGTGTAGTTGTGAAGGTGGGAGGGAAGGGATGGTAGGGGAAAAACAAAGGAGGCAACCATGCTTGATAAGAAATGTACTCATTACCTTGCTCATGTAACTGTAATCCCTCTGTACAGTATTTTCACAATAAAATTAAAAATTGGGCAAGAAAAAGTAATCACAATATGAGAACTACAGTACCTTAATACTGAATAGTATTTATGAAACAAAATTTCCAAAGGAGTGCTGAGTCTTTCCTTTTTTCTTCTTTTTTAAGTCTTTCCTTTTATAGCTTTCTTACATAAGTTCTCTCTCTATTCTTGTAGAGATTTTCACAGAAGCCGTTTTCCATAATGGCACCTAGCTTTCAGGGCATTTATTTTAACATGATTTCACCTATAGCATTTGACAGAGAAGCCAAAATCTTCTGAATAAGCCTCTGCTCTGTGTTCTGGGGTAGGTTACCTAATTTTGCTGCACTTTCAAAGGTTGAAAACAGCATGTCACCACAAAAAATACTGGCATATTCTAGACATTCATAAATTACAATTTTTTTTATCAGCCATAGAAGAATGCTGGATAGGGATATTATAAAACCACAGAAACCAACTTTGACCTCAGCTTAAAGTGTGTACTTGGGTATCTTAAAGTCAAAGGTAACTATGATAAACGTGAAAACTCCTCAGAACAAGCCAATACCAAATGGAATGGCAACTCTGCATATGAACAATATTGAGGGGGAAATGCTCTGAGGAAAAAAAAATCACGGAGGGAAAACAGTGACTTGGGGGATTCCCAGAGTACTTGGCAACACAGAAAAGCCCAAGACTGACTGCAAGAGGGTTGGGGGTAAGCGGGGAGAGGAGGGTTTGGTTCCTTCCTTAATCGTAACAAAATGAAGAATTTTAGCTGCAGGAGTTTGGCCAGATGGTAAGTTTTTTTGTTTTGTTTTTTTTGGTTGTGGGGCCTGAACTCTGGGCCTGGGCGCTGTCCCTCAGCTCTTCAGCTCAAGGCTGAAGTGGCTCTTCCACTTGAGCCACAGCACCATTTCTGGCTTTTTTCTGCTTATGTGGTGCTGAGGAATCGAACCCAGGGCCTCAGGCATGCTGAGCCACCACTGAGCCACCTTCCCAGACCCGGATGTTAAAACTTTGAAAGGTCAAGGAAAAATGGTCATTAGTGATGAATATTGTTTGGCACAGCTGAGATTTCTAATCCTAGCTCCAAGCCTTTTACACAAATGTTATTCTTTCTTTCCCCCCCTGATCTTCCAGATAAAAACCTTCTGGAGACTCAAGAGAGGCGCCTAAGGCTACCTGACCAGTGTACTGGCCAAGCTGGTCCTGAACTCAGACTTCGAAGCGCAGTGTTCAAGTACAGCCGACCGTATTGTGCGCTGTGCTTTCCCACCGCGCCGCCGCGGCCCGCAGGGAGCGCGTTAGCCAGGGATCTTCAGGAGCTACGCTGGCGAAAACGCGCACGGGCGGAACAAAGGGTGCTGGGGGCCCAGGTGCTCGGTGCCCGTGCCAGCTACGGTCTAAGCGGAAGAGTTCCTGGAAGCTAGCTTCGGATCTCGGGTCCTGCAGGCTTGCAATAAACCGGGGGGGGGGGCGAACGGGCCGTTTCCAATCTCTCGCGGAGCATTTCAGACTAAACACGACCACCCGAAGCGAGCTCTGGGCGGCATGTCGCCATCAGTGAACCCAGAGGCGGGGAGCGGGGGAGCCCAGAAACCCAGGAGCACCGGTACGCCGTTACCGGTCGGGTCTACCTCGGGGTGAGGCAGACCCCCCGCGCTAATAGTGGAGGGCCACGGTGACAGACTGCAGGAATTCCCGACTGGACTGAAGGGTGGGACCCAGCGCCGCTCACCTGACACAACCTGCCCGCACCGCCGCACCGGCGGCTGCCGGAACCCGGAGGGACGCGCTTCAACATCGAAGCACCTACCCAACAGGAATGCCATCCCCCCCCCCCCGCGCAAGCGCAACCCTGCGGCAGAGCGGCGCATGCGCCGAGCGAACCGCCAGCCCCGCCCCTACAGGCTCCACCCTCTCCGTTCGGCGAGCGACCGTATCCGGGTTCCCCCTGCCGCCGCCGCCGCCGCCGCCGCCGCCGCCTTGCTCATTCAGCCCGGCTGGGAGTGGTGTGATTCCCGATCAAGATGGCGGCTGTGGGGCGGGTAGGCTCGTTCGGTTCCTCTCCGCCGGGACTTGGCGCAGCTTACTCTGGCGGCCCCCTGGCCCACGAGCTGGCGTCGGGCAGTGGCGGCGCCGCAGCGGGCGACGACGAGGACGGGCAGAATCTTTGGTAACCACCCCACCCCTCCCGGGTCCCCGTGGGTTCTCCCCGCCCGGCGGACGTGTCCGGGATACCCGCGCGCGCGCGCGCGTGCCGGGCCGGCCGCT